TAAGGAAAAAGAAAATGAAAAAAAAAAAAAAAAAAAAAAAAAGAAACGAACGGGTGAGTGCGCATTTTAAACAAAACGATATGAGAGAGAGAAAGAGAGAGAGAGAGAGAGAGAGAGAGAGAGAGAGAGAGAGAGAGAGAGAGAGAAAAGAGGAAAAAATACATCGACTGATTATCGTTAAGGGTGGATCGCTGAAACGAAGATTAGCGACGATTTTTATTGTCTGATATTAGAGATAGAAATTTTGCTATTTATTACGGTGTACTAAGATACGCTTGTTTCCGAATGTACTTTATACATCATGAATAGATACAATGCTAATTTTCGTTTGGCCGTCCATTCCGCGAGACTTTTAAACGCACGACGACTTTTTTCACTTTCTTTCCTCGTTATTTCTTTCATCGATTCTTGGATCTCGAGTCTTTGGGTCGCGGCTGAGTCTTCACGGTTTCGATACGATTTAATCGAGTTATAGAATGCACGAAAAAAAAATATTTCTATAAATATTATACGCGCTGTAAAGCAATAAAGTATTGGGATACATCGATCGAGATACGAAACAGAGAAAATGAAGAAGGAAAAATTTTTATGAAATTTATAACGTGTCCATTTCTTTGTATAAAAAAAACGAATTAATACACAATAAACGAATTAATATACAAGGTATTTCAAGGTATGAAATTTTCAAAAAAATTCAATTTGTTCAGCTCTATTATAACCTTGAAATACATAATCTTTAATCTTAAATTTTATGATTTATTGAATTCATATCTTTTTTTCTTCTTTATTAATTTTTAATGAGCAAATGACAAAAAAAATTTCTATTTTATTATTTTATTATATCTCATTTAATTCAAACAATTTATAAGAAATTTTCTTCGAAATAGAATATATAGAAAAATAGAACAAAAAGGAACAATACAATACTGAGACCAAATCTAATGAAAAAAAAATTAATATTTGGTAAAAAATAGAAAATTTTATTTATATACGTCGATGTTAATCACGATACTATATTGCGCGAATCTTTCTTAGTATACGTAAAAACACAAAAAAGAAACACTTTAAAGAAACAAAAAAAAAAAAAGATGGGAATCACAGTGTATATACATATATATATATGTAATATATATATATATATATATACAGAACCACAGGTTCGTTAATTTTACAATGCAAGAGACACGAACGTTTTTCGGATTAAAAAATAAAAAGACAAAATGAAATAAGAAAAAAAAAAAGAAAAAACGATGAGAAAAAAAGAAAAGAATAGTGAATATAGTTGATGAATGCGTGTCTTGTTGCGCGCCTGACGGACCGTGACCGGTCCACGTTGTTCGCGGATCCGTACGCCATGTTTTAGGCGCACAATCAAGGAAGTGTATAGTGTTTAAACTCGCAGCAAAGAGCAGAACAAACTCTCCCCCTCAAAGCCCTTGTTACGAGCCAGCAGTTGAACAATGATGTCTGATTTTTATCGCCAGAGAGCAGTAATAGCACAAGTGAAACCGTTTCTAAGTACATTTGTTATACAAGCATATTGTTATCATTGCCACGTAAAAGCAATTATTAACTCCATAGCCTGGGCCATTGTTAGGTGAACGAGAGAGCAAGAGACTGTTTCTTGAAGCTGGATTGCACTGATACACGTATCCTTCATTTACTGTTTCGTTGATTAATAATTCATTTTTTTTTTGTGCCATTATCCTTTAACTGATTATAATTTTATTTAATATTCATATAAAGTATCTTAATTTATTTCATTCCTTTTAATGTCGCAGATCTATAATTTTTTCGACGGATGATTTATGAGAAATGAAATATATATTTAATAGAGAGATGAATTAAACTAAAGATTAAAAGAATTGAAAGAATAGTCAATGACACTATTTGAAATGCTAGTTTCTTATAGTATCTAATGAATAATATTACTAAAATTATTTATCATTTTAAACTCTGATTTGAAGGTTAAGTGAAAATAAGATACATTATTTTTTACTTTTCAAGTTTTTTTTATGTTATATGTTATTTACTTTTTTTTTCTTTACTAATTTTTCTTTCTTTTTTTTTTTTTTGTTTCTTTATAATTGGTACAAACTAGCATCAAGAAAAATACGAGAAAGAGATTATCGTAATAACTGCCGATTACTCGGTAACAATGGCAACGCCCATACATACGAAGTCTGTAATCGAAATGCTTTATATTTTTACACCGAACAAAGCAGTATATAACGTACAATAAACAATAAAACATGTCCTTCCATATGCAACCTCAAGATGACAAATGTTAAATTTTTATTTTTACAACAACCCACTATCACTTCCGATATCTGAGCTATATTCGAGCATATTCATAGTTGAGACTATTTAAATAGGATTAATTGAGACAAAGTCGAATAAGAATTCATTTTAATCGACTCACAAGATTTACGATTTCTACTTGACTCGATTGTCTATTGTAATATATGCAATTATAAACGATACGACAGTCTATGCTAGTGATATTATTGTATAACGTCAACGTTTCACATGTACATAGCATACACACATGCATAGTACGTGCACGTGTATATGCCAAAGTATACATAAAGATATTTATGTGATCTTCACTATGCGCAATATTTCGATAAACATTTTGCAGTCATTCGTTTGTTTGATCGTAAAAAAAAAAAAAGAAAAGAAAAAAAATATCATCTAATGAGTTTTTTAATTAAAATGATAAAAGAAATTCAAATAAAGCGGTCTCAAAACAGTCTGTCCAGACACTAGTGTCATCTTGTGCCCTATCTATTGCACGATATTTTGATTTTAACAGTTTTCATAATCATTTCGTTTAATTTTCAATAAAAATAAAAATGGCAAGAATCTATCGGCATCAAAAAAAAAAGAATCTTATACATTAATTTATTAACTTCGTAAAAAAAGAAGAATGTACATATGTATTTAAAATAGCTATATATTATTATATATACATATACGTACACACCAAACACCTCACACAGATACAAATACATATATGTAATATGTGAAGGTTTTCAATGTGCTGTTAATTGCAATCAATTCAACTGTTAAATAATTTTCTCATTACTTACTTTTTGATGTTTACAGGTCGAATCGAAACGTGCTCGAAATCTGGTTAGCAGTATGGTTCCTTCAATGTTTTTTCATTTGTTTCTTCATTTATAAACTTCACATTTATAAACTTTACAAAAAGAAATAATACACTATTCTTCATACACTTAATGTTTGTGTATTTGTCACTTTTAATCACGATCTTTTTCATTGCGATAATACAACTCCATTTTATACGATTTAATATATTTTCATATGAAGTTTGACTTCAACGCATCATCCAACGTTGCCAACTAAAAATTTAAAAATATATTATTTCAAAATATTATACCAATTATTGAATCCGATTGTTTGGATCTAATATAAACAGCATGTATGACAACCTTCAACATAATATCACCGATTGCCAATTAAAAAGGCGCTAAATTCAAATGGTTTTTTAACGGTTTTTCTTTTTTTGAAATTATTATAATGTTTTTTTAATTAGTAATCGGTGTATTTAATTCCATGATCTCTTCCAGAGATTATCGATTACAAAGTGGAATTAATAATAATTTCGTTTAGAATATCGAATAAGATTTGAAAATATATATGCGTTCAAAGAATGCCGATTTTCTTAAATTACAAATGTACGTAATACCTCAGAGTCATTACGATATCAATACGTAAAAATAACGAAACATTTGTGATTCGTGATGTATCGTAGATTATTACCGAGATATTGGTAATTTCATACGACAAATAATAAAATATATACGAACTTCAAATATTTATGTACGTCGATGAAAATTTTTCGAATTACGGCAATTATGATGGATTCGTTTTATCTATGCACTTCCCTCTCATTGTAAAAACTATTCGAGATATCGAATTCTTCTTGTTTCGAATTCTCGCATAAGTTTCATTCGAGAGTTACTGATATCAATCTTCGATTTCTATATTCTTCTTAGGATAAGGATTTTTATATTATGAGTTAAAAATACTTTTTCTAATATTGATTACAAAAACTATTAAGGAAAATTAAAGAATAATTTATGTTTTTAAAATATTTCAAGTATGCCGTAAGAAGAACCGTACTGACCTGTACGTGAAAGTATACGTATCCAACAAGGGAACTTTAATCTTTCAATACTGCGTGAGTATGAAGGAATTTTCTTCGAAGATGCAAACTGAGAAAATGACGCGAAAATACAAATAAAATCTCAAATTTTTCATAATTTTAAATATAATAAGTAACAAAAGTAAGTAACAAAAATAAGATAAAATTCCGTTTTTAAAATTTAATCGAGGAAAGTTCCCTCGTAATATCTAACGCGTAGAAATAAACATTTTTAATATTTCACATTTTATCACAATCTTCATCGAAGTTGTTCAAATGCGAAGACAGTCTTTTTCGTCTCGAAAATAATATTACTTATTTTACACGCATCGAATGTTAGGACTGTGTTCGTATTACGATAGTTGTTAGCAAATGAACGTTTTTCAGTCCCTAGAAAAAAAATAATCATAACAAAAAAAAAGATCGAATTTTTCGTAAAGAAAGAGTACACATATACACGCTTAATGGGAAACATGTATATGTATTTCAAGCGTCTTTGTGCAAAATTGATGAATGTTTTACGTGTACTAAAATGTTCCCTTTTAATCCTATTAAGACTTACAAAATATAAGTATTATACTTTACTTGTATATATACATATGTGATAAAAAATATATATATATATACACCTGGTTTTTCATGTCATATTTATATTGTGACCTTGTAATTATTTTTAATATTAAGCAAAGTAGAAATACGAAAAATAACACACGTATTATTTATTACAAGTCAATTTCTTATTTTATTTATTAAAATTGTTCATTAAATTAACTTAATACGAAACATTTTTATTTTGCCTCACAATACAAAATTAAAAACAGTATATTATATACTTTGATATTAATATTTCTGTTACCCTATGAGAGTTTTTTAACTTATATAATGCATGTAACTTTTAAATTACATGCAAACATTAGAGGCTTTCTCGACTATAAACTTGTAATAACATTTGTATTTAAAATCATCTTTTTTTCTTTTTTTTTTTATAGATAATATATTAATTTGTATAAATTTTAAATTTACAAATGAAATTTATACATGAATATATACATATATTAGAGGAAAAATACACTTTGAATTAGAAATCAATATAATTGATATAATATATATTTTCTATATTTTTTATAAATTATTATTTAAAAATATACTATTATATCATGTTGAAATTATAAAAATATAATTTAATTTTTAAATCTTTTAAAATCATCTATTTTGATAAAAAATATGACTGCACAATAAGATTCTTTTACAAAAGATTTAATATAAGCTTAAAATGTCAATGAGAAAAAAAATTTATATCACATTTATATCCCTGAAACAGTACTGATACTGGGTAAAGTACTATCACTCCATTCAGGATTAGGATAATTCCTTGGTGGACTGGGTACCTTAACAGGCATTCTACTTTGAATTCTTATATCTTGGAATATATTTTGAAATTGTTCTGTTATAGTAGAGCTTATTAAATTATGAGTCAAATTATCTTTTAAAATATTAGCATTATCTTCGTTTACAATAGATTTTTTTTCAGAACTTTCTTCTTTATTTGATTCTAAAGACTTTTTAATTCTACTTGATTCTTTTATATCAGTTTCTTTTTTTTGAGAATAATTTAAATGTTCCAATGATGGTATTTTATTAGTACTTTTAAAATTATCTAAATTATCATTTTTTTTATTACTAAATGTTATTACATCACCATCCCCTTTATTAACTAAAAAGAAAAATATTAAATTATTAGTGTATTATGATATATGTGTATCATACTTATATATTGAATTTACCAGATTTACTGATCTCTGTGCAGCCAAGATCTTTATAAGAAGGTAAAAGTGTAAGTGAAGATTCTCCAGCAGGTAAACTAATAAAGTCTAAATTTGCGGAATCTTTGGTTGAAGCTTCCTTAATATTCTTAGTTCGTTTATTTTGTGAAGTCTCGCTTTGGATTTCTAAAAAAGCTGGAATTTTATCTGACATATGTAATAAATCTTGTACATTTTTAATTTTAGACGGATTGTGATCCGTGGATAAAGAAATATCGGATATATCATGCCAAGAGGTACGTATATTTGAATCACGTGAAGAAGTAGAAGTAGGTGATGAACATACACGACCTCCATGTACTAATGAAATTTGTGGATTTGGACATTCTTCTTGAATATAACTATCTTTTAAATTACATAATTGATCAGCGATACAATTTTGTAATTCCCTAAAAGATAAAGATAATAAAATAAAAATTTAATTGTTATATAATTATATTTAATTGTTATATAATATACAAAAATTAATATAATGATTCAACTAACTTGATTTGATTACGAAGATCATTTAATAAAGAATCTTTATATAATGATAGAGCTGAGAATTTATCTTTTTCAAGAGTTATACATTGTACTTCTAAATATCTTTGACTTAAAAGTTCCTTTTGTTCAGCGAGATTCGTTCTTAAGTCTGATATAATTTTTTGCGAAAATTCATAATTTTTAATCTTTTCTTTTAATTCAATTATCGTTTTATCTCTGATTTTAACAGTTTCTTCTAGTTCTTGTTTTAATGTTTTTACAGTTTTTTCAAGATCTAACTGCTTTTCACGATTTTCGTGCAATAAAGAGCATATTTCCTGATTTTGTCTAATTTAAAATAAATTGAGTAAATATAGAATGAGATTGTTATAATATATTTTTAATAAAAAAACATACCTCACTAAAGAATCTCTTTCATTTTGTAATGCATCACACATTAAACTCATTTGTCTAGTTGTTTCTGATTTGGTTTCTAACTCCTGCTGTAAATAATTATTTTAATACACCAAATTTTTAATATTATTTTTTTTATCATTTTTAATAAACATACCACAATAGGTAGTTTATCAGGTTCCATTGATATTCTTAATAATGCTTGTTCCATATTAGTAAGAATCTTATTAGCTTTATCGTCTTTAACCAAATGTTCTAATTCCTTTATTAAAAAATGTAATGTACGAATTGGATTAAAAACACCAAATCTATCATCAAAATAATCAAGTGTTCCATCACATTGCACACCTTTATCATAAACTATAATAGATTCCACAGTACTTGGAATTGATGTACTTGAAGGATTTGTAGTTCGTGGTATAGATTTTATATGTTCTTCTATCCTTTTTTGAGAAGCTGATTGTTTAATAGGCAATTCATCTAAATGTTTATGCTGTGAAATAAAATATGATTAAATCAACATATTAAATAGTTTAAAGAAATATAAAAACTAATACTAACATTTGGTTTTTGATGATTTAAGGAATGTTTCTTAATTTCTTTAGTTTCATTACTATGTTTTAATGATTTTGAACCTGTTGTTTTTGTCTGAAATTGTTGTAAACCTTGTTTTATAACTGCTTTATTTTGTTCTATTAAAGCTTTACCCCAGCTTTGGTGGATATCACCACTATTACCAGGTCTTTTTTTTTCTTCTATACTTTTATGACTAGTTGGATTGCTCATAACCATTGTTGATTTACGTTTAAGGCCTTTAGCTTTCACAATTATTTCAATTTGTTTATTACAATCACAAAGACCTTCTGAAGAAAGTCCAGAAGGAGGCTATAGATTTATATTATATAATTAAAATTTATATTACAAAAAAATATATAACCATAAAAATACTTGAATTATAAATTACCAAATAATGGTTATTTTCCAATATATTTTTATTAGATATAGCAATACTTTTACTAGCAGCGTTTATTTTGTTGCTCATTATGCTAAAATAATAAAAAAATATATTTTTTATGTTAAATAAATATTAAAACCTGACAACTGGTTTCCAATCAATATGGACAAAATTCATCTAACCTAGTATTTTAGTAAATTTATTTCTATTATATATCGAAATGTTTATTATAATTTATTATAATATTTACCAACATATTTATCCTGGTATTTACAATATATATATCATCTTGTATAATTAAATAATTTTGAACAATCATTATATTCCAGTATTATGTAGAAGATGTAATATAAAAATATCTAATATACTTCCTTTCCTTTAATTTTAATAAAAAGTATTTATCATATAATTCAATAAATATTTTATATTTCATATGTATAAAGTCAACTTCAGATTTGAAATTGCAATTTTTTTTTTAACTTATCGTATAAAAATGATTTAAATCATACAGATGCATATTTCGAAATAATTCGAATTTCCGGTTTCCGCATTGCAATTCAAACAAATCTAAATTCTATTATTTTTATAATTTTCCATTCTTTCCAATTATATTATATTATATATATTAAAACTATATAAAAAATTTAAATTAAATATATAGAATTATCAATTATATAAATTTAATCAAAACAAAAAGATTTAATTTTTACAATAATATAGGATAGTAATATAATAATTTATTTAAATTACGTATTATATATAATTTAAATATTTTGAATACACATATATATATATATATACAATTAAAAAATTTACTGTAATAGTATATAGATTAAATTTTTATGTGAAAATCACATTTAAAATATTGCAATCTTATATAAAAATTATCATATATTATTTTACTTATTATTAAGTTTTGTTAATATATTATAAACTTCATTTCTGTGCTCTCCTAATGTTTCATAAAACTTATCAAAAAATAGCTTAGCAGATTCCTCTATATATGCTTTTCTTCTCTGAACTGCATCTAATTTATCTCCTGTTTCTTCTAATTCTGCAGCAAGTTCTTGTGTATTTGGCATTGAATCTTGAATTTCCTTAATTTCATTTTGCAATTTCTTTATTTGTTCTCTTAATTTTGTTTCTTCGTGTTTTGCATCAGTTTTAATTTTATTTATAAGACTTTTTTTTTCTTTAATTTTATTAATAATGTCACTATTTTCATCTTCTAAAGTTTTCATTTTCTCCTGTAAATTTTCTAATTCATTAAAATTTGTTTCTGATGAACGTTCTTTTTCAATAATTTCTGATTTCAATAATTCTTTCAAATCATTCATTAAATTAGCTTTAACTTTTAATATTTCCATAATTTCAGGTTTCAATATACCTTTTTCTGGCATCTTTAATTCTTCTAAATTTATATCTATATTACCACTAAAATGCATAAATATTTCATTATTATATGTTAGTACTGATTTAGTTATTTCATTATTATTAAATGCCAATTTAATATCCATTGTATATAATTCTTTTTGTATTTCTTTTAAGTGTTCATCAAACTGATGTATATAATTTTGAATTTCTGTACATTTTTCTAAAATTTTATCCCTTTCTATTTTAGACATTGGTTGTTGTTTAATTGTAGAAAGTAATTCATCATGCTGTTTTTTTTGTAAACAAATTTGTTCACTCAATATATTACATTCAGCATTTAATTGATCTGTTTCAAAATTAATTGTTTTTATATATTCCTCTTTTGCACTGATATCACTCAATTGCTTTGTTTCATCATTTTGCAAAGATAAAAATACTTCCTGTAGATGTTTAACTTCTTCGTTTATTTTATTTAAATTTTCTTCAGCTTCCTGCTGTTTAAGCATTTCTTTTTCTAGTTCAGAACGTGCATTATTCAAATTTTCTTCACTTATACCTTGTTGTTCTTCAATTTCTTGTAAATATTTTTCTACCATTGATGCTTCCTCATCAAGTTTTTCATCATTCCAGGCATTATAAAAATTCAACATTGAAAAAAAAGCATTTTTATTAATTTTAGCTTCTTGTTCATTTCCCATAAATGATAAATTATTTAAATTATATTTTTCAAGAGCTATCTTTCTTATTTCACAAATTTCTACTAACCAGCATATCCAACCCAAAACATTTGGCCAGGAATGCATAGCATTAGCAGTTTTTAACCAAGATTTGTTAATTATTCCTGGATAATGCAGTTTTTTTGCAATTTTTGGCAATTCTTCCACATAATTGGAAATTGTTAGAATTTGTTTAATATCTAATATTTTTAATAAATATGCAGAAACTTCAACAAACATTTTCAAAGTAACTGGTTTAAAACTGTTATTAGTATTAACCATCGAAGAACAATGATTTATAGAAAGAAAATTATCAATTTTATTAAGCATATAAGTCTGATATGTCTTGTCTGTTAAAGGTCTTGTATCCTTCCTAGAACCTTTTGCACCAATATTGCTAGCACGATCAGCTGATAAAGATCTACGGCCTGTAGGAAGTCCTGCATGAATTTTATTTGAACTTCCAATTGTATGATGATTGGAAGATTTGCCAATATTTGGTGTATTTGGAGTTGTTGGTACATGACAAAATGAAGTTTTACCTACAAATAGAGTTTTATCTACAGTAATAAATATTTTACATTTAAAATGTTTATAATATTTTAAACAAAAAATAAATATATCAAATTTTTACCTGTTGGTTTTAATAATGATCCTTTGATATTTATTCTATCACAAGAAGAAGCCCGAATTCGAGGTCTTGGAATATGAGAATTTTCAACTGAAGAAATAGAATTTTTTGGTTTTAATGTTTGTGTTCTTCTAGATTCTGTTCTTGTTAAGCTTTTATCTTCTCTATCAAGTAGAGATATTCTTACAGGATTCGTAGATGATCTACGTCCTATAGAGTAACTCGACATTTTGATCGAAACAAATTATACTTTTTTATTAAAAAATTATTAAGATAAGAATTATATTAAAATATTGAAAGTTTTAATATTCAAAGTATTTACTTTAAAATCAAACATTTTGAATTTCGACGTTAATCATAGATAAGTAAGATATAAGATTAGTAAGTAATACATAAATAAAACACAAGTATTTATATAGTATTTTAATTAAAACTCACCATTATATATTTTTAAAACTAATTAAAAAATTGAAAATAATTTATTTAGTTAATTTAATTTAGTTATGAATAAAATTTACAATTAATTAAAGATAAATATTAAGATAATATAACAATGAACAAATAAAGTATTTTAATCTTATATATTTCAATTAAAATTATATAAAAATGTGGTTTAAATTTTTTGTAAATAATTTGAATATATAATATATATATATAATATGTGAATAATAAGTGAAATAAAATATGCTCGAAATTAAAAATAATATTTATAATTGTTTAATAATAATGTTTAATAAATTTATATATTATTTATATTTTATAAATGTTTAATAAATAATTATTCAATTAATATATAATATATTTGTTTTCGAATAATTTTACAAATAGATATTTATTAGAATGAGAAATAAGAAAAATATAAAATATTTTTATTATGTTAATATCTGTTAATATTTAATCTTCAATAATTTTAATATTTTTTCCGTATTATATCTGTAAATATAATATATAATGGCAAAATATTAATTTTTGAAGAAATATTTTTAATTGAAATTATATATTTCGTAAAAGTACTAATATCGATATATAATTGTACGAATATAAAAACTAAATAATAATGTTAAGAACATTATGTAAATTATATATATCTAAAATAAAAAAGGTATTATATATTAATAAAATTTGTCAAATATTTTTTTACATAAATACATAAATAAATAATCTGTTTTACTAGGTTAGATTCTTTTTTTTTAAATATATACTTATATATTATTTTATTTAGAAGGAATATAGAAAAAATGTAATATGATTTATTATTACAGAATTTACAAATTTGTTTATTACAAAAATATTCAACAGTAAATGTTCAAAAAAATAATTTACAAAATTTTATGAAATATGAAAATAAAATTTTACAAATAATAAATAATAATAATTTTAAAAAATTAACAAGGTAAATATATAATAAATATTATTATATAAATTAGTATAGTCTAATAGAATATATTAAGTCTATTTATTATTTATATTATTGTATATAACATATAGATATATTCAACCAACATATGCTGAAACAATAATGTCATGCTACACTAAAAATGGACCTTATTCATCATTAAATGATTTATTAATAAAGACTAATATAAATGAAGATATTTTGAATGAATTTTATAATTCAATACTCAATCATGAAAAAATATCCCCCAAAAAAATCAACCAATTTATTGTAACACCAGATATCAGTGGAATAGAAGTATAAAAAATATTCATATATTTATATTATTTTTAACAATATATAATAATATTATTAATAAAAATCTAAATTGTTTCAGATGCCACAAATGATATTGGGAATAAATGTGGGACCTAATGCAATAAGTTGGACATTATTAAATTCTAATTTTCATATACTAAATTGGGATTGTTTTGTTTGGAGGGATAAAACTTCAAAAACTACAATTTATGATATAATTAATTTGGTAAATATTTTAAATTTAATATTTCAAGTTCAAGATAAATATTTTATATAATAATTATTGTTTTATGATATAGACATCATCTTTTGTACAAGAATTATCAATATTTAATAATAGTCTCACTTCTTTTGTAATAGAAGAAATTGACATGGCAAAAATGTTATGTTATCAATTTCAAATAATAATTGGTATTGCAAGTTGTCTTAAATTATTGTCATATCAAGGTATGTTTATAATACTATTAATAATGTTGCTATTAATAATACTATTAATAATAAAATTTGTAAATAAAAATTTTCAGAAAAAAATAATTCATCAAAATTCTATGATAATTTGTACATATTAAAATCTCGATCAACAGCACGATTCTTTAAACTTAGAATTGGTAATGAAACAATTGCAGCAAAATATATTTTGGAGAAAATATTAAATAAAACTGATGAAACAGATGAAAATTTAAAACAAATATGTATAAATAATGAAATAAAACAAAAATATATAGAAAAAATTTCAGAAGAAAAAGAACAAATAGGATGGTCTCTATTAACAGCTTTAACTTTCGTACATCTAATTAAAAATCAATCTCATACAGAATAATTTAAAATAATTAATTGTATATAAAATTTGTTATAAATATAATTTGGTAAATGTTTTATACAGTGTATGTAAAAAATAAAAAAGAATCAAAGGAATTCCATGTGAATTAATACTATATACAAATCTTTTCATTTATTATGTATTCATTTTTATTATATTATCTATTTATAGTACATTGTAGTCTAATATTTCTTTGCTCTTGAATACAAACTCATGATTAAATATGTAAATAAATAATTGATCACAATGACAGCAGTATGAAAAATTATTTAATCATATACTATTGCAAATATTAAATGAATATATAAGAAAACAAAAGTACATAAAAATAAATTTGTATGGTGAATTAAAAATATCAATTAAACGATGTTTTTTAGTGTGCAAATTAATAAATTATTAAGTAATCCCATAAGTAATACAATTTTTCTATATTTAAAGCAATGGAATTAATTATGACAAGAAGTTCTATAAAAAAACAGAAAATTTGTGGGAAAATAATAAAAAATTGTAGAAAATAATAGAAAATATATTATTGATTAATTATTGATAGATAATTGTTTATTTTTACGTAATATACAATATATCGCGTACAGAAAAAATAGTATTATTTATGGGATAACTTAATAGGTATTTAATAGGCTTATTGAAAAAATTGTAATACCGCTACTTAATCCGGCAGTGATGCTGTAAAAAAAGCATATTTCTAACATATTATCTAATCGAGCACGAATAAGCACAACATAGTTTTCCATTGTACGTATTTTAAATTTTGCTCTTTTTGATATTTGTAATGTTTAATGTTTCCAAATAATAGTAAAAAAAAAATAAATAAATAAATAAATAAAATTATTTTAATTAACTAAGTAACATTAAGAAAAACTAGTGAATCAATTTATTCAGATACCATTTATTCAGACTATAGTAAATTGCGTGTGCCAGTGCTCGTGTGTGTTATGTATCTGTTTAGAATTTTTTTGAATAAATATAATAAATACAAAATACATAATTAATAGAATAGCTGATTGAGCTTGTATTTTTTCATATATCAATATTTTATGACACATATAATGAATTAAAATTAAATAAAGAGATTTCATATGCCAATCTCCTCAATAACCATTTGATGCATAAACGATGCTAATTTTCCGATTATAATAATCGTATATAATTATTTCTATGAATTGAATAACAGAAATATCAACCATTATTCCATTTTACTTTTATTGCCGATGGACTACAGATCATTGGATCTGTCATCGAAACGACAAATAGATACGCTATACAATTGAACTATGTGATTGCACTCTTTCAATGACTCACTCGCAATCGCATCGCTGCCAGGTTAACGCAATTAATTAAATCGTTAAAGTAATACCCGATCAGACCAGCTGGAAACGAGTCTTGACATATATGTATATCGACATATCTAATATATAATTCTATGTATATAATATATCTATATGTATATTAATATATATGTGCACGTCTGTATTACGCTACAACATCGTGAAACAAAAACTGTTAAGTACATTATAATAATTATTATTTCTTTCTTTTCTCTTTTTCGTCTCTGTATATAGTTTAGAATGCATTTTTTTCTTGTTTTATTTTCTTTTTGCTTTGCATCTCGAGATATTTTTATACAAGCGTATACATATATAAAATCTAAATTCAGTTTAGAACGTATATATCATTACGTGCACTAAAGCGATATCGTCAACTCGCTTTGAATTTGTGCAAAATGATGCAGTTTTTTTATATAAGATATAACCGGGAATAGAAATATATCTTTCGCAAAACTACGATGTTATGCTCGCATGAACACACAATCGATATATAATTATGACATTAAAAATAATACACGATTGTTTAAATATATAATAATGTTAATAAAATTATTTAGTATCTGTCATCGAAGAGTTAAAATTATATAGTATCTTGAAATAGCTGAAAAAGCTTTTTTTATATAGCAATTCCTTTTGCGGAAATAAATATAAATATATATAAAAGCTTGAAAAATCTATTGCGCGTGTGGACGGGCAAATTAAAATGAAGAAAACGATTTGCAATTCTAGATAAAAAAAACTTGATGCATAAATATGATTAAATATACTCGAAATCGCTCAGAATGATTTTTTAATTTTTTAATAATATTTTTTCAGATCATTTAATTCAGATCATTCAACCATCCTCCAATTGAACTTGAGGTTTCTTGAGGATTTTTATAATATTTTTCTGATTTTAATGTGTCCACATTTTTGACATTCGATACCCTGATAAAATTTTAATAATTTCACTTAATATTTAGCATGTCATCAGAATTGTAATATCAAATTTCTTGATCTGTATTAATGTTTTCTTCTCTCGGAAAATGCATGGCGCAATTCCAGTAATAAAACTATTAATAAACTTTCATATTTCACGCATACACTCGTTATACAAGTAAATAAATGTTGCGATATTGAAATAATCATTTTACATATTGAAAACTACGCATCTAAACCAATCTTTCTTGTATTTTACCGATTTTACATCGATAATTGCGCGTTTCTTTCATTTCAATACTTTTTTCTTACTTATAATTTAATAATTTAAATGTTAATTTTTCAGACGAACGAAATTAAAAAGAAAAAACTGATCAATTTATCAGTTTCTTCATAGATATTGTTCAATATTCGAAAAATGACATACATACATATATATAAATGTATATGTGTATCCATTAAACATTCATTAGACAAGTAGAACATTCTTTACATGATGCATGCTTGTATAATCGAAAGATCTAATAAGATAGGATATCAACATATGAAAAAAAAAAAAAAAAAAAAAAAAAAAAAAANNNNAAAAAAAAAAAAAAAAAAAAAAAAAAAAACAGGAATTTCTCTTTTCCATAACATTCTAGTTTCAATATGAAATATATCATGATTAGTTATAGTTTCCCTGGCTTGCATGCGATCTATCCATATCGATTTTCAATGTCGATCCCATAATATATCGCATTTACATCATCGCTGTCAGATTAAGTAAGGAACGTAATATTCGAATAATAGGATCATAATCGTATTAAAACACGTTTAATGAACAAACGTGCTTTCGGAAATATGTATTCGATAATAATGATAATACTAATAACAGACGAACGATAAATGTCGGAGGGATGTATGGACAGCTTGTATATCGTGAAACTTTTATGCAATGACGATTGTCGATATGCAATCGAGCTGTGTTGCTCCTATTGCTTTTGATTGAACTTGTCAAAAGTACGAAGAGAATGATTTTATTAATTTTCGGCATATTTGCCCCTTCTGGTGTGTTCATTTGCCTCTCTAACGTAACGTTAAGCTACATATATATATTTTTTGATAAAGTTAGTGAGATTAAAGTTGAGAGTAGCATCGAGGGCAAATTCATGTTTATTTTACACGGAGGATAATAAGACACGACAAAGATTTTTAGTTATTACTTTATGCACGCGGTCGTGCACTTTAAATACATTTACAATAGTCTATTTATAACTCAGCGCACTATCTTTTCCCTTAGAAATCATGATTAGAAACAATGAGAGACAGAGATAGAATAAAAAGCGCAAAGAAAACAAGCTCTTTCTCCGATTTTTTTTTTCATTTTAAAATATTTGGTCCGATGTTAAGAGACTCTTACACTTAATTAAACATGCGTGCCGACATGTAATAGTTTTTCTGGAACGGACGTTAATAACAATATGGAAATTGTACGCGAGGAACACGATGGGTTACATTGATGCATTCTTAATACGATTAATTCAACAATCGATTTTATTATAATCAATTTGTTAATCGCGATAAAAATCAAAAGAAAAATTCTATTACTCAAATCAAATAAATTATATTATTATTCAATTAACAATATCATTAATCAAATATCAGTTCATCCCACAATAATGCGAATATTACAATTTTACATTATCATGAAAAATAGCAATGAATATGATGAATATCAAGTAAGACAATTAGCTAAAAATTCAGTTTAAATCAATAAAAATCAATATTTTGAGTTAAAATAAATTATAACTATAAAAATGTATTGAACAATCTAATGAACAAACAGTTCTATTTAAATCAATAAAAGTAAAAGTACTTATTCGTTTGAAAGAAAGTTTTCTTTTATCAAGATAACACAGGACAAGTCATTAAAAAAAAATTAGAAGATTTTGATTAAAAAAGAATATAATCTATTTTTAAAGAAATATTACATTAATAAACTATTTTTTGCTTAAAAATTTGTAAAATTATATAAATGAAAAAAAATTATCAATGCTGACAAATAAAGAAACTTGCAAAAAACAGGAAAATTAATTTAAAAAATTTTATACCGATTATAGGATGATCTAATATCTTTAAATTTTCAATGCTTTGGATGTATGCAATCAATAGAATAACCCATTATCAAACTTGGTACATTCCATTAGACGGTCAAGAAATATTTTTTAAATATTTTGGACTAGATTGATAAACGAGCAAGATCGTACCGATTTGAAACAACCTGGCACGCTTCAAATTCACGCACGATCGAATGTTTTTCTATTTTGGAAGCAACCAAGAAAAGGAACTGTATGACACAATAAAGAAAGAATAACATGTATAAGAATTATAAATGAGATTCATTCGCAGCGCTCTTAATTACCATTTTTTAATTTTTTTTTTTTTTTTTTTATACTGTTCAATTATTTTTAGTGATGATTACACAAAACATACAACCGCATAGACGAAAAATCTGACGACAACAGCTCGTGTTAATCAAAGAATAAAAATTTATTCGCTTGGTCGTCACACACACGAAAGGGCAACACGCAACATGTAGGAGAGAGACCACACTTGTTAGATACATACAGTAAATTTAAATTGGGTCAACTCTACTTAAGCGTTTACATTTAAATTATCCGAACATTGGCTCTGCACAGATAAGTACTCTCCGTCTAAATATACATTTCAATTCGGTGTGCGAGAATAGTCTTCCACTATATTAAATATATATAAATATAAATATATATATATATATATATCTACTCGTATTTATATATTTATATTTATATATGTATACATATTCTTTTTTCTCATTTTTAATTGCCCGATTTTTTTTTCGATCTAGTCATAATTGGAATCGGTCGGAACTTTTGATTCATTCATTTTAAAAATGGAATCAATAATTAAGTTCGGCTTGATATAGTTTAAGAATTCTTCGATTCTATAATAGTTTTTAGATTCTCCTATTCTTTTTTCACTCTTTTCAATTTTTTTATTGGAAGCTATCGAGAAATGTCTGTTTTGTAATAATATGTAATATATCTATTACATAAAACGAAAGGAATGAAATATTCCGCCGAAAATAATATCACAGCCTGGAGACACGGTGGAAGACTAAGATCCATGGCTAAAACTTCAACTAAGTCCCAAAAACAATTGAACAAAATGGCACAGATCGTTGGAATTCAGATCAAAAGTATTTCTATGAATTTTTTTTCGATGTTTTATCTATATATTGCAAAGAATTAAAATTTATAATAAATTTATAATAAAAGTGAACAAACTTAACGAAAATTAAAACTCATGAATAAAAATTAATAACATAATATTTCATTAACAATCTCTATTGCTATATTGGTTTTTTTTTCTCACAATACTAGTCTCTTCTTCCTTTTTCCTCCGTGATTGTGATATTATTTAGAAAGCTTAATGCTTCTAACTTTCAGTCGTACAATGAATACATAGTTTTTTCTTGTTTCATAGTAATAAAAATTACATTTAACCATTTTTCTCTGATTTCGTCAAGAAGAAAATATGACGAAAAGACGGTCATTAAAAAGTGACTAGTATATGCACTTGTTCGCACAACGTTCAAATTAGTTCAAACTTTTTTTTTTTTTTGTTTCTTTTTTTATGATGCTAGACGTATATCATACATGTATAACGTGTATCATACACGTGTAACAAAAATAGGTTTATAGGTTTCTTTTGGTCGATTTTTGTTACCAGGATTCACCAATAAGACACACATGAAAATGATTCGAGATTCAACTATCTTTTTCGCAGCATTATCGTAATAATTCTGCAAAAAATTATAGCTATATACTTGACTCTGCAGTAAGAAACAACTATTTGTTTGATTTCAAAATATAACTTTTAAAAATAGCTTATTTATGAAGTGATATAATCATAAATATTGTAAATTATTATAATTGAGTACATTATCATTCGAAATATGCTCCAATTTGTTAACAAATAATCCTAAATAATAACAAATATAAATAATATATGTAGATAAAATAATGATCAATAATGTTGTGCGCATATATATATAATAAACAATTAAATAAACAATATTGTGCGCTATGCGAATATATTTCATAATAATTAATGCAAGCAAATCATAAAATTAGGAACATGAATTAGAAAAATAGTTTTATTAAATATATATGTGTGTATGTAAGAGAGAGAGAGATTGTTAGACGAAATATTTAAAAACTGAAAAGATATTTCTCCCATTCTCTTTTTTTTTAGAGATAAACTTAAATGTCACACATTCTTATAGAAAATAGTTATTTTGCATTTAAAAATCTTGTAGATACTGGTAATTGTTCTAACTTGTCTATTGTGCTCTTTGCCATTTTATATTTTTAATTTTCCTAATATAATATTTATGTTTTTTTTATCATCATGATAAAAATACATTCATGATTAGGATTTTTTATTATATATATGCTATTTTCAATATCTAATTTCATAAGCAAGTTAATATTTCAATAAGTTATCGATAAAAATGTTACTTTGTGAACAAACACAAGATACTCTAAAAGTATCTTAATCTCTGAAATATAATTGATAATAATTATCGAAATATAGAAAATAATTTAATTCATTGATTCTTTATATTTTCAGTAAAATGGAATACAGTTGCTAAAATATTAAGTATAAGAATGACATAAAAGTATATTATTTAGAAACTCTGTAAGTTTTTCGATATATCGCATTATTCTCTATTTTTTTTTTTTTATGAATAATTCAATAAAAATCTTATTTAATATTCAGATTTCTATCTTGTAAACATTTCGAGCACATGACAAGATAGGCTAATACTTCTTGATCTGATACAGTCTTGAAAAATTCACTTCAGTACTATATTGCAGATATGAATCAGTCGAGATTATAATTTTTCTCGTTTTTTTTTTTTTTTTTTTTTTTTTTTTTTTTTTTTTTTTTGTTATCTCTTCACTGTGTGTCATAGGTATAAACTTGGTAACTATTAACGACGATTCTTACTGGTACACGTCTAAGTAAATAGTCATTACGAAAGTCGACTCGAGATGATACTTGAAAACACGCGGATGAGATTCATAAAGTAGGTGTACAAGTTTGTGCTCATTTTACATTACTGTACAAAAGTATCATATCTTTAGTACAGCAGTGCAATATATCACTATTCGCAAATAGTTCATCGAATATCTGAAATATTAGTTTTGCTGCCAAAGATTTTGATTAGCTGATCTTCATAATCCTCGATATTACGTTTCATAAGTTCCATGCAAGGCCCAAGTAAGCGTTCAAAAGCTTCAACATCCAAAACTGAAAAAATCATATTTATAAAAAAAATATTTTAGATTGCAATTTTTCGTAAACTAAATTACACATATCGATTCTCTCATGATTATTTATTTATCTATATTCATATAGAAATCAAATGTATAATATTAGATAAATAGATATTTTAATGGATAATATTAGAAGTATATAAAAAGAAAACTTACAGGCCAGTTTTACTTCGCCCACAGCGTAGGCCGAAGCAGCGCGAGGTTTATGTGTCACTAGCGCCAATTCGCCTAAGTATCCACCAGCGGGAACTCTATTAATCTGTAATATCAAATAAAATATCAAATGATATTCATTACATTGACAATGTACTAGTTTCCTACTAATATATTAATAACTACGAGTTCAGCCTTATATTGTATTGAGTTATATAGATTAGTAATTATTACAATAATTAGAAAATGAAAATCAACATTTGTACCTCGATTTCGCGACCATCATCTCCTTTTATAGTAATCTTAACGATACCGTCTTCGACAAAATACATTCCATCGGCTGTATCGCCCTGTTTGATGATTTGATCGCCATCTAAATAATGTTTTGGTACTAGAGCATCCGCTAGATTCATACGCTCATATGGCTAAAATAAAAACAAAAATGAAACACTGATATTATTCAATTACTATTATTCATATTATTATCATATTATTATTATCCATAGTACTATTTTACATAATAATAAATATTATTAAATTTATTATTTAAATTAAATTAATTTGTTATGAAACAATAAAGTATAAAATAAATAATAATTTTAATTCTACCTGAATTCTTGGCAACTGAAATGTTTTGTGCTTTATCCAAAATTTAATAATATATTTGACATGTAATTGAAAATAATCAGCTGTTACTATCAATCAAACAGAATATTCTAAAATAACCTAATAAATAATCTAATCATTTCCTAAAACAACTTATATATAATATATATAATCTCTTAAATTACAAGCGATGAATTGTTTTTAAGAAATTTTCTATATATCGCAATATTTTCAGATATAAGACTTGCCTCGAGAGATTTAAGCATCGGAACCTTATTGATAAGATCCTCATACATCTTGCGCTTTTTATAAGCGGACTTCAATAAAATACGTCGAAAAGTTTGCCTATCCATAGCCCATAATGTACCATTCGTGATGGCCTTGATAGTGGCTGCTCTTGGCATATTATAAAGGAGTGCAAGCTCTCCGAAAGCACCACGGTTATCGTATGTATGTATCAAGGATTCCATTTCTGTTTGATCTTTTACATATACTTCGAATTTTCCTCTGAAAGAGGAGCAATAATTAAATATCTTTTATAATCATTGATTTCATAGATTGATTTATTAGAATTTCATATAAATAACGAAAAAAAGAAAAAAATATATATTTTACCTCTCAATGACGTAGAAATTGTCACCATCATCACCTTGTCGAATAACTATTTCTCCAGATTGCACGATCTTTTCAAACATTGCATCCAATACATCAGTCATTTGATCCTACAAATAATTCATGCGATTCGTGTGTGTACATGCCATAATATTGGCATGCGATTATAAATACTTTATAACTAGAAACATTTATTATTTTTTAACATTCTAGTGATGATAATTAAAATATTTTGATTTAGATGATATATATATATATTCAGATATAAATATAAAAAAATATATGTAGAGTATGAGTGTTTTATATAAATATAATAATTTAATATATATATTAAAAATATCCTTTTTTTTCATAATTTTAATTCGTTGTTTATTATATAAAATATCTTGTAAATAATTTTTTAAACTTGATCATATATCATTTTTTATTCGTGAATTCTTAAATCCTAGTGCAATAATTAATGAATTTAGTGAATTTATTAATATTCAAATAAAATTAAAAGTAACTTAAGAAAAATGGTGAATATTCTCTTAATTAGAGATTTATATATGTATTCTAATCTTTTTTTTTGTTTTTCTTCTTTGATCTTTATAGAATAATTTATTCTTAAGAATTTGAATTTCAATTGAGCAGATTACATGTACCGATTGGCATGTCCCCGAATTGGCGCCAATTCTTGCTGCTTCAATTATGTGCAGGCTAGATAGTATATGTGTACTATGTTTAACTTACCTCATCTAGCGATCGAAAGAGAAGAATATGTTTTATGCTGTCAGCCAATCTTTCTCGTTGCGCGTCAGTTTTCGGATGCACAATCTGTAATTAATAAATAAAACTTTCATGTAATATGATTTCATGTAATAATGATTTTAATATATACAATTATATATTTTGACTTTCATTGCACAAAGAAGTATTGTATATTTGAATTACTTTTTGAAATAGCTTTTACCGAATATTTAAATTCGATAAATTTTATAAACTTTTAATGCTTAAAGAATTACGATCATCACGCGGTACGCATCGATATTATAAATTAATTGCAGCGTAATTGATCGATAAAGCTAGACCTGAATATGTTATAAAAAGAAAGGGTTTTCCATTAGATACGCGTGGGTAGATTGCACAGTACGGTAAGTTTAAAAAAAAAGGAAGAAAAATCGAACTCTTTTACGATCTTACGTTTGGTTTACCAGCAATACCGGTAGTTGGAAAATAAAAGAACTAAAGAACTCTAAATTATATGATGATGATAAATAATTGTATCTTGTCTTTTTTCGTAAAATCTATAATCGATCCTCGTAAAGAAAATAATAAAATATAGATTAAAGTATAGAGATGTAAATTAAATTAAACATAGATCTTCTAAATTTTGTAAGTTGCATTTTGTTTTCTCATAATAAAGAATATAAATTTTTATATATTCAATATATTTTTTTTATATTCAAATTATAATGTATACATTGATTCTATATTAAAATTACATTATTTATTCGCTGTTCTGATTGTGATTTTTATCTCTTATTTACTCAATTTCTGTCAATTTTCTTCTGTCAATTCTTGATACTTGAACAATATTTAAACATTTGAATTTTATAATCAACATTATATATATATATCCTGAATGAGCTACAATATGTGATATAATATTACAATTGTTTTAAAGCTTTTTTTTTAGAAATTCAGTATCATGATAAATAAACCTCATTTCATTTTATATTATCTGATTTTTTTCATTTGAATCAATTTTAAAAACGAAATAAATAAAGAATCACTGTGTCTATCACAATTTTTTTAATTTATCTTCGCAAAAATAATATCGAGTTTTAATTTTCGTTTTTTATTTCTACATTTGTTTCTATTACATGTACAATGTTCACAAAAATAATATCGAGCTTTAATTTTCGTTTTTTATTTCTATATTTGCTTCTATTATATGTACAATTTTCTCAATGATCTTAAGAATATATGTATTATTTTGCACTATGTTTTCTAACGAGGAATCGTATCTCTCAATTCATTCATTTGCATAATTAATTGTATGATGTTTATGCATGTAATTAATATTAATTTTCAAGAGCAAGTTTTCTGAGTTTAATAATCCAGTTTTCAATGGTATTGAATGTTGAGTTGAAACTTGTATAAAGTGAAACGATGAACTCAAAACAGTGATGAAGAACATGCGTCAGAAGCGACATTATCTAATTGTTTCGATTAAAACGAACGGAGAAGGAAATTGAAAATTGAGCTGAAAGTCGTTTTCGAGAAATGCTATATACTGAGCACCTTATGCATCGATCATTCAACTACACTATATGTATATGATATAGAATGATCTACTAAAAGTAAAACTTATTATTTTGTTTGATTCTAAAACTTGTTTGATTCTAATCTAATATTCGAATTATAACATAAATGTTAAAATCATTCCTGTTTAATATAATGAAAATTATTAATTAATATTAAGTTATTAGTTTATTATGCTAACATATAGATATATGTATAAAAATATAAACATGGAATTTTATGTTTTGTTGTTTTTAAACATGGAATATGTAGTTTACTTACTAACCATTTAAAAAAATGATCATCCAATTATTTTGAACAACGTATCAATATTTCACAGAGAAATAATTTCGATTATCTACCCTATTATATATATATTGATTTGTTTTAATCAATTAGTTCCACAATAAAAGATTTATATAAAAAATCTATATAATTATATATAAAATATTAATAATCTTAAACAATTTAATATAAAATCTTAACAATTTATAGAAATTAAATAATTTATAGAAAAATTAAAATTTATATCTTATATATTATACAGAATTTATTTAATTTTTTAATATTTCATAATAAAAAAAAAAATTATATGTTGTGATGATCCATCCATTATTCTTGATGATTTTTTCAATTGGCTCAAGTTATCAATAATCAAGATCATCATGTTACTTTATGAAATGCTTTGAATATAATTCCAATTTGACATGCCTTTCCCATATGTCCCTTTTTCTCTCTCATTCTCTTCTTTCTCATTCACAAACACGTTCACGTGTATATGTATATATATTATATATATGTAAGTCACGTCGGTAGCAGGTTATCGAACACGCGCTCTGACGTCACAAAGGTACATCGTTCGCATCGTCGAGCAAAGTAAATCATCCCGTTTCGTCACCCGCACAGCCTGAATACGTTTATATTTTAAAAAAAAAGAAATGCCATTGCTTTTAATGTTTTGATATATGTCAATCAATGCATTAAATCGACAAAACTTAGAATCTATCGTAATAGAAACGTCTTCTGGAAATCACATGATTTCTTTAGAAGCAATTGGCCGTATGTTATTATTCAAACGAATCATAAAGCATCCATATTTAGCTTTTATACACTTGGTACACGTGTCTGCATATATATATATGTCTTTTTTATATATCTACACGTTAACTCTATCCTTGTCCGGTATTCTTGTTCCAATATATAGGAATAAAGGGTTTATTTCTTGATCTCTAACTTGTCTTAATATATTTAATTTAAATTATAAGAAATTTAATAAAATTTCTACTAATAGTTTTCTACATCATATCGAATCTTCCATCATGTGATAATAATAATTGATTATCAATTCATATAATTTTTGCTTAAGACTAATTTATCGATAACATAATTCCTTGTATAATATGACTAAAAATACATAGGATATAAAAGATTAAAAAAAAATATTGCTGAAAATAATTAAAACTCATGAAATATGTAAAATTAGAAAATATAAAACGCACCTTGAGACCTTCATCTTCTTCATCTTCCTCCGGATTGTATGTTTCCGCGAAAACGCTTTTCCTTCTTGTTGCCAACTTTGTAATTGGTGGTTCTGTAAGAAAAATATATTTGAATATAAAATTTTAATATTTTTTTTACAAATATTTGTTAACAACTTATTGGTTTATATATATATATATATATATAAATAAATAAAATAGATTAATTAAATTAATTCCTCGTTGAAAATTTAAAGAGCACATGGACAAAAAGTATAAATTAAGCGGGAAAAATCCTACCCGTTTCCATTGATATATACGTATATAAATTTTTTTATAAAATTGTTAAGAATCACTAATACACTGATCAAATTTTGAAATCGAAATAAAATATCGCAAATATGCACTTAAAATCTCTGAAAATAAGTATATCACTCGGCTTCAGGAGGAATACTTGACACGATGAGAAGTCGCATCCCGAATGAAAATTTACTGGCTTACCTTCATCGACAGACTCGTCCGGCGTAGAAGTGGTGGTCTGCGCAGGGGCTTGAATCAACTGAGTTTGACGGCTTTCCCGAAGTTGCGTGAAAAAAGCTATGGCATAGTCGATAATATCCACTGGTTGCTCCAACAGATAGCTAATTGTGAACTCTAACAGAACGTCCCGCAATTCGTCTGGCACTATAATCTTGCTAGCATTACGTTGATAACTCATTTTTCTTACACTAAACGATGTTTGAATAAACACACACTATAATAGCATACGCCGGTAAATGATCAACTGATAAATTATATAAGTTAATATATTGTCACTGCATGAACAAGTAACAGGAATTCGATGTGTCACTTATCAAATGCAAAAATTTTCTTATCACGTATTGCAGTGAGGCTAAAAGAACGTAAGACCATGCGTTCCGCCCACTTTTGCTGAGCTACACTCTTGGTACAACTCGAACACTATCTAGTCTCGTCGAACCGTTTTACTTCGACACTAACTTTCAATAATTTTTTTCTCTAACGCTACATAAAGCTGCGCGGAACATACAACGAACCAAATTAAGAGATGCGACTCAGTCGCAAAGATGGCGACTATTTCACGGCGAGAATCTTGACATTACCAGAAGGATTATACTGAACATTTAACTGGCAAATAATAGGCAAATTGAACATCATTGAACGAAAGCAAATGTATAGATTGTAGACCAACAGTAAACTCCCACATAGTATTCGATTTCCACTGCTTTTAGATATTGTTCGTACGTATGAATTCGTTGAGCCAATGAAAGTCTTGATGTTTGATGTACCGTTGAGCTTAACCTTCTTCTTATTGGTTAGTGAATACTTCAAATGTAATACGGTCAACGCATGTTGGATACACACTTTGATAAATAATTATTACGATTTTATTTCCTTTAAGTCCAATTCTTATTAACATGAAAAATGCCCCCTACAGGCAAACAGTTTAAATATTTTTGACTATTTCAAAATCCATCGACCTTTCTATGTTTAAATTAGTATTTTTAGCCATGTTTTAAGTAAGTAAATCTCAACACGTGTATCTTGTCAAGAATTAGAATAATATTAAGAAATATACGATATATAAGTACATAATTAACTTGTACATTAAAAAATTATTTCTACAATTATTATACATATATATCACTAGGATGAATAATAGAATTAATAATATATTAATTTGTAAATAAGTTATTAAATAATAATTTGAAAAATATCAGGTTAATTTAATGTAAACAATATTTAAATATCCATAAAAAAAAATGGCGGAGACAGGACAATTTGACGAATTCTTGGGTGGATCACAAAAATTACCGAATGAAGTTCATATTATGAAACTTGTTTCTGCAAGAGCTAGTGAAATTGCTGCAATGACTTATTCTATAGGTATTTTAACTAATATATTAAATTAATTTAATAAACCATAACTTTTTTAACAAACTTTTGTAAATTTATATCACTTATGTAAAAAATTAATATTAATTAATATTATTATTATTTACAGAGAATCCTCAACAAACGAAACTTGTATTTCAAAAATTACCCGTGTATATGCGCAGGCGCGTTATGTCACATAATGTTAAACGTTTACCGCGCAGATTACAGGAAGCACATTTAAATCAAATGACCAAATCTGGATTGCCGCCAAAAATTAAAAGACCATCACGTAGATATCGTAGGCGACCACGTAATTTATTAGCGGAATATAAACGAAGACAAAGAAATAAAATTTGGTTGGAGACTCATATTTGGCATGCAAAACGTTTTCATATGATAGAAAAATGGGGCTACAAAATTGCAAATTATGCGAACGATAAATGTTTTAAAGCTAATTATCGTGCTATAGCAAAACATTGTTTGATGCAAGATATTTCATATTATACATGTGTGGAAATTAATGGTCTTGAAGAAATTTTAAAAGAAACATTAAAAAGTCATTGCAATCCATTGGAATTAACATTTGCCGCAAAAATTTTTATTACAGGCACTCGAGAAGGAACTGTAATGTTTTATAAAAAAAATGGCTATCCTCAATTTCCAATTGGTTATGTATATTTTTTATGGAGACCAAGTCATTCTGATTTAAGAACTATATGGATTTGGGTGCATCCATCTTTTCTAAATGATTTTATTACAGAAATTATTCTTAGTTTTGGATTTAAATCAAGCGATGAACATTTTATTTCTAATTCAAATAATCAAACTCCAGAATGTTCTTTGTATATTAATGAAACAAATTGTAAAATGATTATTCATAAAAATATTTTTAATCGATTTCGTTTTTATGGACCATCAACCATTAATGTTTTAACCAATGTTCTTCATTTACCAAATTTTGATAAAATATTTCATTTAAAATCAGATAAAATACAATTTGATGATAATCAAATGAATTGTGAAAGTCAGAACTATAATAATAAATCATGGCATATTGAATATTACAATGAAGAAAATATTGAGTCTTTAAAAATTCAAAAACAATTATGGCAAGTGCTAAAAACATTACAATCACCTAGTCAATTACCACCAAATATTGTTCTTGGTTTTACAGTTCTAGATCCAAGATTCTATTTACCTGTTAAAAGAACCAAGCCTCAAAGAGAGATAAAAACAATTGAAATAATATCAATGCCTATTGCAGAAGCAAATTTTAGTCCAATTTGGGAAGAGAAAATAAGAGAAAAAGTTAGTAAAACATATATAACAACAAGTGCAATTAACAAACTAAGAAGCCAATGTTTAGTACCAGGATTAAATAATGATAAATATTTTAATGAAGAAATTATGGCAAAGATACCTATATTATTAATTCAAAAACCTGGGATTGGTAATGCAGGTAAATATTAACAATGCATCTATTTTTATCAATGATGATTGAATATATATTCAAATATATTATTCTAGGTTTAAGTTCTAGTATAGATATTATTCTTCCATCTAATTGGGCTATGCCATTTTGGCTTGCTTGTATATTTCGTTGTGTAAGAGTTGGTGCCCTAAGAGAATCAAAATCTATAGCATTTGAATATGAGAACATGAAATGTTCAAATATTAATGATCCAGATACACCAGCATATGCAAGAGAAGCATTAAATACTAAATTAGAATTAAAAGAAAAATATTTTCATTATCCACCAAATAGACGTGTAAACTTTATTAAGTTTGGAATTTCTAGTCCCTTTTTTTGTGAATGGAAAATTTTAATGAAAGAATGGGCAGCTACAGAAGATTTTTTTGTATTAAGAAATCGTAAATTATTAAACTTTCTACAAGATAATTTAAATTCAGAAGATAACAAAAAAAAACATAAAATATTAAAAAATCATACATCAAATCTTACTATGCAAAATGCGTTTGAAAATAAAAATTGTTTAATTCGCGTTAAAGTATATATTGTAAAGAAAGGATGTCCCAAAAGGTTTGCTTTAATATGTATGCCAACTAATGAAGATGTAGAAAAATTTAAAAATAATAGAAATTGGTCAGGTCCTATCGAAAAATTAAATAATGATCCAAATGAAACTTTTCGGAAAATATCACGAAAGAATCATTTGGCATTTTTAAAACGATTAAAAAAGCAAAGAATACGCCATAAAAAAACACTAATTAATAAATTAAGCAAAATATTAAACAAAGAACTTGGAAGTTTTAATTATGAGGATAAGTCTAAAAAATTACTAGAAATAAGTCGTGAAGCTATATGCAAACAATCCCAAAAAATGTCACAATTATATCTTCCAGATTGTACCAGTGTACGAAATTCTTGTGATAGGGAAATTATGGGTTATATAACAATGGGTGACTTTTCTTTTACAAAAGCAAAGGGTATAGGTTTAGGGTATACTACATTAAATGCCCTAATTGAGTTGATTAATAAAAAACATTCTTTTGTTCTTATTAGAAACATTCAAACAAGACAATATAGAATTGCTACATTGGAAGTAGTAACTTAGCAAATAAAAATAATAAATTATTATTTAATATTGATTTGTAATTATATTTAATTTTATAATATTTATAATTCAATTGTAATTATTGAATATTGTATCTGAAAGAATATATATGTATATATATGTTTTTGTCGTATTTATATATTGTTATTAGAAATTGTAATTACAATATATATTAAAAAAAAAAAAATTGATAACAAACATTTTTAATTTCTTTAGATATAGTATATATAGTATATATAGTATATATATTTACATTTTTATATTTAAGAATGTTTTATATATATATACATATGTACATATATATATTCACATACATACACACATACACACAGTTATCGATATGTCCTTACTATACTGTATTCAGTAATTCAGTCTATTGAAATATAATATTACCAGAATATTCTATTTAATTCTCTCTTGATTAGTCAATAATAAAAAATTGTTTAATTAAAATATTCAACATGACACGTGTAGCTGTTGTAAGTATAGTATAAACTATATGTATAAGAATATTATATATTGTTTATTAGTTTTATCGATATTGATTATTGTTATTACGATTATTATACAATTTTGTTTAAATTATTCAAATATCGTATATAGATAATTTATGAAATATTTAGGTAACTGGTGGAAATAAAGGCATTGGATTTGCTATCGTAAAAAAACTTTGCAAACAATTTGATGGAGTTGTATATTTAACAGCTCGTGATGTCAATCGAGGATTGAATGCGATTAAGCAGCTTGAAAAACAAGGTCTAAAACCCAAATTTCATCAGCTTGATATTACTGATGATAATAGTATCTCTACTTTTTATAATTATTTAGAACAAAAATATAAAGGACTTGATATATTAGTTAACAATGCTGCTATTGCATTTAAAGTAATTATAGTTTAATTTATTAATTTATTTTTTTTTTAAAAAGTACTGTTATATATATTTTATTAAATATATAGATGGATGCTAAAGAACCTTTTTCTATACAAGCTGCAGAAACATTGAAAACAAATTATTTTGGTTTAAGAAAAGTATGTAGCAAACTTTATCCATTATTAAAACCACATGCACGTGTAGTACATGTATCAAGTTCTTCTGGTCACTTATCATTAATTCCTAGTGAAGCACTAAGAAATAGATTTTTAAATCCAAATCTTACAGAGGAAGAATTAGACAATATTATGCATGAATTTGTTGAGTATGTTAAATTATTACAAATATATATTAATTTATAATTTATTATATTTTAAAATATAAATATTTTAATTTTTAATTATATTTTTAGTGCTGCAAAGACAAATACACATTTAGAAAAAGGGTGGGCAAATTCTGCTTATGTTGTAAGTAAAGTGGGAGTATCTGCTTTAGCTAGAGTTCATCAAAGAATATTTAACTCAGATTCTAGACAAGATCTAGTAGTAAATGCTGTACATCCTGGTTATGTAGACACTGATATGACTAGTCATCGAGGTACTTTAACACCTGATCAAGGTGCTGAGGCTCCTGTTTTTTGTGCATTATTGCCAGAAAATACAAATATAAAGGGTAAATACATTTGGTACGATAAATCATTAGTAGATTGGACAAAAGCTTAAATGCAGAACAATATAATTTGATTTTTTGTTATATGTTCATTTCTTTATTTCTAAAATAATATTTGTTTTATTATTTATATAACATTTTTTTTTTATAAAATTTATTGCTTTTATGAACAGCAATAATTTTTTTTTATATGCAGTACATATAATAAGGAATAATTTTAAGAATTTTTATAATTAGAAATTAATATTTTAATATTAAACTCAATTTATATATTTATAGATGTACAAATTCATAGTTTGTATGTTCATTGTATATAATTCTTGATTTCAATAGTAAAAAATAAATCAGAGATATTTTTATCTAATAATAATATAAATTATCTTGCTTGAACTGCTGCTTCCTTGCGTGCAGCATCCTGTAATAGCTGAGTATCCACTTCATCTCCTGGTAATTGTACATAACGTACTACTGATCCTCGAATAAAACAATTTTTTACAGATAACTGAAAGTTATTATATTTTTATTTCTTATTATAATTTTTTTTTTATTTATAATATTTTTTTAAGAAAATCACTAGAAAGATTAAAATTATTACAAACCATGTGAGGATATTTATCTGGATCAGTTACACTTATATCAGTTAATTTTATATTCAGATATTGATCTACTGAATGCAAAGTGCCACAAATACTAAATAAAAAAAGTTTTATTAAATAATTTTATTAAATATTAAAAAAATATTTCTACTGGTCTTACCTTAAATCGTTTTTTAATTCTACAACTACGTCCTTTCCGATCAAGGATTTGAAGAACGAATAAAATAACTATAAATGAAATTATTTTGTTATTAAAAAAAAAAAAGGGTTAACTTGCCAAATCGAAATTGATGAACTTACCATACTTAACAAACTTAAAAATTTTATTCAGACTTCTTATTTTTTTATTTTATAAACATAATGAAAATAATTATATAATATATATTATATAGTTTAATAATTATTTAAACTAAAAATTATATTAATTCCAATTACCGGCACAAAATCGCTATTATGACAATTTGTTTGAAAATGTCACTACACACGTTATATGTTCAGATTTATATCGTTAAACATTGACTTTAATATCTCGTCAATATTATTGAATTATAAACTTTTTATTTAAGTTTATTTTAATTTTTATTTATTTAAAAATAATTTTTTAAATAAAAAATAAATTTAATAATTCAATTATATATAAAATATTTCAATTGTATCTTGCTTCTTATTTGCTAGTGTTATTTTTACTGATTGGACATTTCCATTAGTGTATTATGCATATTTAATCGTTCTTTGTAGAACAGTCTTGAAGAATTTCATCAATAAAGTTTTGTTAAAATATGTTTTAGTATGTGTCAAAACTTATACTTATTCGTGATTTAAATAAAAGTTCACTTAATTTTTTATCTATTTAAACGTGTTATTTGATAGATAAGATCATTGTTTTACGGTTGGTAACAGAAGGGCGTTGACATTTATCAAAAAGGCAAAACGTGAAGATGCATCTGTGACATTAATTTGTCAGTAGCAATTTTATTGGATTTGTTGTTATGATTGATTTTTTATGAATTAAACGAGAAAGATGTCAATTAATTTAACAAAAAATAAAGACGCTTTGGTGGCTGCATGGCACAGCGTAGTCGACGATAAATCGTCTACTAACTGGTAGGCTTTCATATCTTTCTTTTATGTTATATTTTATCATCTTGTCTAGTGTCTAAAATCGCTGACTTATATGTATAAAACTTAAAAATTTAAATGTTCAATTAAATCTTCAAAGATTTACAAAATAAATTATATTTAATTATTTTTTTTATCTATGTTTTTTATTTGATCGATAGAAATAATATAAAATTAATAGACATAATTTGCATTTTTAATAATAAATGATCATAATATTGAGTTAAATAAAAAGTGTCTTTATTATGTGTTATTAGCATTTATTTATTATTATTTATATATAATTTTATTATTAATTAAAAAAAAATAAAATGATAAATATGCAAATTTTTATTAAGATATAATAATAACATATATTTATAGGGCTTTGTTTGGATATGAAGGACAAACTAACAATTTAAAAGTGGTTGGTTCTGGAAATGGAGGTCTAGAAGAAATGATTGATTCTTTAAATAGTAGTCATATCATGTATGCCTTTTGTCGTGTAATAGACACTAAAACAAGCTTACCAAAATGTCTTTTAATAAATTGGGTAAAAATTTTTAAAAGATTATTGTTTTCACTTTATATCTATATATTAAAATGAACTATGTTTTAGCAAGGAGAAGGAGCACCAATTGTTAGAAAGGGTACCTGTGCAAACCATATTAGAGATATAGAAAAATTATTAAAAGGTGCTCATATAACAATTACTGCTCGTTCTGAAGATGATGTTGAAGTAGATTCTATCATGGAAAAACTTGCTAGAGCAACAGCTTCAGCATATAAATTTAATGAACCACGTGGTGAAAATGAAGGTAACACAGGTCCAGTAGGAACTACATATCGCAGGTATATATTTTTACTATGTTAATTACAACAATTTTAGAATTTTTAATTTAAAGAGAATGTATATTGTAGAGTAATTCCTGAACAAGAAATAAATGCAACAGAACGTGATCAATTCTGGCAAAGGGAGGAAATGGAGGAGAAGAAAAGATTAGAGCAAGAACGTATTAAATGTGAAAAAGAACGACAACGGCTTGAAGAAGAAATTAGAACTAGAGAAGAAAAAGAAACATTGCTCAGAGAACAAAAAGTAAATAAAAGTAAATATACTTTATTTTATTTATTCAATATTTATATATGTTATTTAAATATTTATAGGTCACTGCCAAAGAAAATTCAATAGCGCGACAAAAATTGGCAGAACAACGTGCCGAAGAGGCGAACAATTTACGTAATCAATTAGCTGCAAGTCAACATTATAGCAATGATGTTGATGATGATCATAGATCACGAAGTGAAGAGTTACGACGACAGAGAAGCAAAGAAACGCAACAATTAATAGCACAAAGAACAATAAATGCACGAGCTGTTTTTGAACAGAATTCAGCAGCTGGTCAAATGAAATCTTCTTCAGTACAACAACAATATATACCGAAGAATAGTCATGTAGAAGCAGCTAAAAAAGCAATTGAAGAAAGTCAACAAAAGGATGTATCTCATATTAAAGTACAAGAAGAAACGAAAATAGTAAAGAATAAAACACATAATATTGATAGTATAGTAACTACTACTGTTTCAAATACATCTTCGCCTTCGAATCAAGTTCAAGAATCAAAATTGTCAGAACTAGAAGAATCTCAGCAACCATCAATGACAAAAGAAATAGTTACTGAAAATGAATTATACAGTCAAATGGATGGTCAGTACTTATATTTTGATCCAAATAATGAAGGAATGAAAGCAAGAGCTTTATATGATTATCAAGCAGCTGATGATACGGAAATTACATTTGATCCTGGAGATATTATTACACACATAGATGCTATTGATGAAGGATGGTGGCAAGGTCTTGGTCCTGATGGTACTTATGGACTTTTTCCTGCTAACTACGTTGAAGTTATTGATTATAGTACAACATGATAAAAACAATTTTTATGCAAATAGTTCTTTTTTCCAATTAAACCACACTTGCTTGTTTGCATATAAAAAGTGACATACAATATTCTAATAATTTTGCACTTTTTTTCAATAACTTACAGTTTTTAGATGCGACGTATTTCGACGAATATAAAAAAAACAATAATAATATTAATTAAAATAAAAGAATTATTTATGTTTTAAATAAATGCACATTCAATAATGAAGAAAACCAATATTTCTAATAATAATCACGTAAAAGATAAATATTGTTAATATTTTAGCGAACAAGATTTAAAAAATTAATAATCTTACAATGCCATTTCATATACAAATAGCGAAGTACGTCTTCCCATTCAATGTCACAAACTAAATAAATTAGTAAACAAATATATCTTTTTATAACATTCTACGTCGAAAATCGATGCGCTCATAGAAATAGCATATTTAATAATTTAGCAAGTATCCTTTAAATATATTTACAGGATGTAATAATAACTATTTAGGAACATGTTTAATTGTTTAAACAATAAATTAAATTTGTTAGTATATACTTTATGATATTTTAACCCAAAATATCCTTTAATTTAGTTAAATTTTTTTTATGTAAAGTACAAAATTCTTATAAACAGTTGCTTTATTTCACTCGGAGATGCTGATATCATGAATCAATATGAAAGTAGTTATATTAAACTTATTTTACTATATGATATAGAAATTTTTACAGATGAATGATTATACTAAATTAAAATAGAATCACAATATTGATATTATATAAATAAAATAAACGAAATCATCTACGGTAATTTTGATTTTGAGTACCACTTCCACTACCCCCAGCATGACTCAAAAATGCTAAATGACCTTTTGGACATTTATTGGCATAATGACCTTTAGTTCCACATTTATAACAAGTGACTTCTTCAAGTGGTTTTTGCGGCCCTCTTGGTGGAGGTCCATTATGGATATTCATGTGATGTGTAGCATGAGAATTACCTTCTATCTCTTGTCTAACTTGAGCTTCACGTACATCAGGTGGCATTTTATTACAATAAATTGCTTTGTGACCACCTTCTCCACAAAAATGACAAGTGATCATTACTTTTTTACCTTCTTTAGGTTGCATATCTTGCACTGCTGGTAATTCAAATCTTGGACTAAAAATATAAAGTTTTAAATTTATGTATTATCATAATAATTACTTTTTAATATACTAACATATTTAACCGATGGTCAACTTACTGCATAAATTTACAATTTGGACCTTCAGGACAAAATCCAGCTAAATATGCCATGCATAAAACACGACGAACATGTCGATGTCTGCATAATGGTCCATGTCTACAAAATCCACGATCATACCAGGGACAATCTCTGACTTTAGTTTCTGGGTCAATATGTAGGAATGGACATTCTTTATTGTGACAAGCATCTAATAATTCATAACTCATTTTAACATACCTATACTGGGAAAACTTAGTAATATCACAAATAAGAAATATTAAAAAAGAGAAGAATATTTATAAAAATATAGATATATTCTTAAAATAATAATAAATATATTATATATGTATATATATATATATATATATACTTACTAAATCTAGAATAGAAATAACATTCTGGCATTTTTGTCATATCATATTCATGTAAAAATTCACACTGATCACCTTTTTTACAAAGACCTCTTAACCAATGTTTACATACAATTGTACGATCTCCTCTTACATGTCTAAATGGACAAGAAGCACCTTTAACACAAGTACCTCTTGGATAAAATTGACATACTGCAGCAGTAGATTCTGTAAATGATGAAACAATATTCAGATAAGTTTAATGAATAAATTAATATTAATTTAATTTCAAATTCAAATTATCAAAAAATATAAAATATTTTCATAAAGATTGTCAATATAATAAAATGACTTTTATTTAAAAATTATTTATTATTTTACATTTTAATTTTTTAATTATTTTTATATTTTATAACATAACCTAGTCAAATTGAATATACAAAAATTATCACGTACTGTCCATTCCAGTAAAAGGTAAAGGAAGTGCTCCATATTGTTCATCAAGAGCAATTTCAATATCAAATCGCATGTTATCTACGTTTGCCACTAAACACTCCATTATTTTTCAAAATATTTAACAATTAGAAATCTTATTTGCTTCCGTATACAGTAGTATCTCGAATGTATACAACATGCATTAATTTCATTCACAATTGAATTAAAGTTTTTATTGTCGAATATTCACTTTTGAATACTGATTAGCATTGTTAACAATATTTTCATTGATTAATCATTGAACAATTTAGATAATTTATACTGCTTTTTATACGACATCATATTGCACGTGCATTGGTAATAGAGGCGTCATTTTATGTTGGCGCTCTGAAACGAATTCACTCTATTTTAATCCATATATTTTTTTTTATATTAAGAATATAATATCATCTATTATCTTTTCATATGACATTTTTTTAAATAAAAAACATAATAAAGAATATTCTATTATAAAAGTAAGAAATTGTTTATATTAAAATAATATAAAATAATTTATAATTTCAGGATAAAATCATGGAATATTATGGCAATAAATAGAAAAATTTAACAATTTATAATAAATATTAAAAAATCTATAAGATATTAATACAGAAGAAGTGCAGATATAGACAAATCTTGTTCAAAAATAATATTTTACATGTTCAATGTTTTGTATTGAAAGCACAGAAGAACTTTACTATTTTAATGTCATTTTCAACGTTATAGATTCGATTCAGAATAAAATTACAACGTTAGTAATAACTAGAATTAAAATTAAATTTCAATATAAAATTAAAAATAATCATTCGTTTCCTATCGTTATCAAAACACACAGACGTTATAATATTAATATACATTGTATATACTATATTTTGAGAAGTCGTTATTCTAGAGATATATTTTAAAGTCGAAAATCTAATATTTTTCTTGTTATTTGTTAAAAATTAAAATATATTATAGTTTCGAAAGAGAAATAATGAGAATGTATTTAATTAATATCCTATAGTTTGTTTATAATCACAAACTAAGACAAACAATAATAAAAAAAGAAGAAATAAAGTAGAGATAAAATAAAAATATTAAAATTAACATTATTTCTAAAATATTGCAAATGAAATACAAAGAAAAAATAGAAAATAATAAAAGAAAGATAGAGATAACATAAAAATCAGTTATTTTTTGATTATAGAAAATATTTCTATAAAGTAGAATAAGAATTAACGCCATCTTTTTAAAAAAATATCTTTAGTACTCAAAAAATGGCGCTGAAGATCAATTCTTATTTTATTTTTATTCTTCTCTTATTATTCTTTCTACTTCAAGTTTGTTTTACACTTATAGATTATTTAAAAATAAGATTTGATTCTGGTATCTTGATTAATAATCGATTAATAATCGAAAACCTATATATAAGAAATAATAATATATAATATAAAAATAAAAAACATTTGTGACTTTCATATGTACAAAAAGTGAAAATATTTTACTAAAAATTAAGTTATCATTATTCAAATTTTTAGAAAATCGTCAGTTATCTATATATTATAAATAACATTTATAATTGTATATATATAATATTAATATTTATATTAATTATTTATTATAATTATTATTACAATTAATAATTAATAATATATATAATTATATACATAACATTATATATATAATTATAATGTAATTAATAATTAATAAAATTAATAATGTTTATATTATTATATATATTATATATATTAAATATATTAATATATATATTAATAATATTTTATAACTTAATAATATTATATATATTAATAATATTATATAATTTAATATACAATTAATTAAATAAAATAAAAATATATTTTTATATAAATTAAATTAATAGTTATAATATTGTGTATTATATATAAAAGTATTCCTAAAATGATCAATTTTAAAATTAAAAAATATAAATTTTTTTTAAAATTAACTTTTAAAATTTATTAATTTAATTTATTAATTTAATTTTTATTTTAACTTTTAAAATTAATAAATGATATTAATAAGAATATTATTATATATTATTATTAGTAGACAGTTTTTTAATATCAATAAATTTAATATATTATAATATTATAAATTATTATATTTTACATTAATAAATTATGAAATTAATAAAATTTTAATAGAATATTAAAGTCATAACATATAAATATTTTATATTATTTTAAAATATTTCTTTGAAATTTATAAGCAGCCACTTACCAATATTTATCAATACATTCATTTGCGATTTTCGACTTTGCCTACTGAGCGATTGTTATCGAATGGGGACAAATTATAGCCAGTTATGCTTGAACTGTTGTATCGTTTAGACGTGTCGAAGAGACGCGCGTTCTATTTCGTATATAATTTAAAGTTATACGATTTTTTTTGTGTGTTTAAAATATATATATATTTTATTTCCAATTACATAATATATATTTATAAATGTTTATTCGCAAGTATTTTAAGTATATTTATTCGTAACAGTGGTCGGAATTTGGCTCATTTTATTCGCAAATATGATATATTTCATCATTGTGTTCACCTCTATGTTATGTCCGGATAGAAAGTTGTTATTGTGTCATTGTTTATCTACGAACAGTAAGTTTATGTTTTGGATTTTTCTAATTTAATTATATTACGCATTATTTTTATTTCATATTACATATTACATATTGGGTTATACAATTTTGATTTATTGCAAACAATTTTAAATATTTATTGCATGCAAAATAACTTATTAAAATCTAAATTTTAATAATGAATAATTGCAATAATACAATAAATTTTTAAAATTATAAAATATAAAATAATAAATTATAAAATATAAAAATTATAAAATATATTTTTAAAATATTTTATAATTTAGTAATAATTAAATAATATTTTAAATAATATTATTTTATAAACAAATGCTTGATAAAGATGAAAAAAAAAAATTTTCGAAAATATTTCATTTCTTTTCCTTTTCTTTTCACAATATAGTTTTATTTTTGAGACTATATACAATGCCTAAATCAGTATTTGTTTAGTAATAATTTCTTTAATTTTTTGAAAGAATGCACGAAATTAAAATTAATGTTTATTCACTGATTATGATATAAACAGTTGTGATAAAAGTTTTTTTCTTTTTTTTTAATATTGGAAAATAAATATTTAAAAAAAAAAATACTATTCGAATCTATTTCTTTCAGAGAAAACTGTCATTTATTATGTAAAAAGTAATCATCTTTCATTTTATTTTAATTTTTATTTTTTTTATCGAATTATTAGAATTTTAATTTTTAAATTTCAAGTTTTTACATTTATAAAATCTTAATTTTCACTTATTATTTATTATAATCTATTAAAATTTTAATCCTTATTAGTATTCTAAAAAAAATCTTCTTATTTAAATAATTCATAATATATATATTTTATTATATTTATAATAATATTTTAAATTATGGTATTTTTTTATTTTAGATGTTTTAACTTCTACATTTTGCTACATGATGT